GGGGGGGGGGGGTGGCTCGAAAAATCCCAGTAGAAATGGTCGAACAAGGGACAAATGGGGGTTGGAAGGATGTGACGTTTGGAATTTGCTCAGACACACGCTCCTCCATACCATATAAAAATAAAAGGGTCGACAAGACGTATGTCATTTGTAAAATGCCGGGTAAATTATTATTACGCTTTTTTATAGCCGTCACGACTATGATTTAAAAAAATGTTTAGATTTCCACAAATTTGGATGTTCAATCGTAAAATGCAAATTGAAAATGTTCGGTGAATAACAGAAAAGTCAAAAAAATATATGAGATAAGGAGAAAAAAGTATCGTAGTCATACCTAATGAACTCCTTTCGAGGTACCTAGATATATATGTGTGTGTCTATATATATATTAGGTATATAGAACGCTTAATCATTTTACTTCAGCGTGGCCAATCTTGAGTCATTAATAATCAACTCGGCAGCCGTTCATCAGTCAAGCCTAGGGAAAAACGAATGAACGGGATAAGAAGGTTGGTGAATTCTAGAGGAAAAATGAAAACCTAGAGCTCAGAAGAGATCTAACCCAAGAGAATGTGTATATAAAGAATTTGATATTAATGAAAATTTTTCAGTATTTAGGCTAGTATGCATTCAACCACGGGTCTTAGGATTAATCTACAGGCAATTAAGAATCATAAGACCGCAAGATCAATAGATTATAGAAAAATTAATCAAAATTATCTAGTTCCATCGAAGACTATAAATAGTTGATTATCGGGTGTACAAGTAACAGGTTCAACGAGCCGTTTAAAATGTACAGACCTAGAGAAATACTTAATTGATTTTATCTAGTGACTTTATATATTCTCCTAGTGACAAATCAGTGACCGTGGGACGAGTTGATCAGGTGTCGTTTAGTGTCGTCACCAGAGGAAAAACAGTGAAGCACGCCGGAATTTCACGCTTATCAATCTTACTTAAGGAACTTTAAATGAAATTAGTTTTTGGCTATCGTTATGTGCTTTTCGCGTTGCGTAACTTTCTTAGCTATTTATCCTCTCTCTCTCTCCCCCCCTCTCTCTCTCTCTCTCTCTCTCTCTCTCTCT